CAACCCTCAGGTTAGGAGATGACCCGCTCTACCTCCTGAGCCTCAGGCACCTCGCACTTGGTTATCTGTTATTCTAACTGAGAAAACTGTAACAACAACTAAAGACAGTTCAGAAATATCCACCCATCTTTTATTTTTTCCTTTAGATCATTCAGCTATAAAACACTTCAGCTTTATTGAGATATGAGCTTTTCTCCACTCATCCACCAGCCTCTCTTTGCAGCCTGAGCCAGTGGACTGGAGACCATGAATGTCAAAAGGTTGTGGTCCCAGGTGAGACATTGTCACTGGGCCCATGGCCATGGTATTTAACCCCTGATTGGCTAATTCATATCCCAGGTGTGGAACTGGGTTATACACAGTGTGTCCGTCACGGTGCTCAGGGTTTCCTCTAAAACAGCCCAGTGAGTGGGCAGCCTGTCTGAGGCAGGAGGTCCAGTTAAGCTGGGGGGAGGTGTTTGAGGGGGAGGAGAGCCAGAAAAGAAGAGGTCCTGCAGTTCATGTTCATTATCAACTCTCTCTGTGACCCCTAATGTCAGCACTAGTCCTAACTGGATCCCCTTTCTAACACCTGCTAGGAGGTAAAGAAGTGCCTGTATAAATTGTACAAGAATATAACAGGCACAGCAATCTGAGGTTTTTGAGAACTTCTGAAAAGTTTAGATGGGTTTAAGGGAGAAAAAGTTAAATTGGGATTCAAGAAAAGGGCAAAAACATGTTTTTGCATTCAGTAGCAGCTAACCAGCATATGAACTCAATACAGGGGTAATATTGTTATTATGTGGTCAATGTGATTAATTATTAGAAAAAAAGTGTGTTGAAAATGTCCTTGGCCTGATTTTAAAACATAAGAATACTAAATAAATAATATAGGTTTTGAGTTTGATGTGTGCCTTTTTCATCATAATGCCAAATGTTAATGTTAAGTTGCCTCCATTTGACAAAATAAAGAAAGCACCACTCTAGTAATGCTCTCACAAATATTAGTGCAATCGGTTTCTTGTTGAACAGTGTTTTTAAAATGCATCTACAGCACTCCGGTGGTTTTTTCAGTTCTCCTCGAAGTGTCTGAGCAGATACTGACAGCCCCTACTGGGATCACATTCTACCTAATACTTTGAAATATTGAGGTGCTTCCAAAGTGAAAAACTGCCCTTTTAAATGTTTATTCCTCACAAATGGCTGGAGCCATCAGTTGAGTTGGTGCCGCAGATGGCTGCTTCAGTTTTGTACCGGAAACAAACTCCTTGTGTGTAACATACTTGGCCAAAGGTGATTATCCTTATCCTTATCTTTAAATTTCATGTGGCTGGGGGCTGGAAGTGGAGATGCAGAGACCCAGTGGGTTATATTTAACACCATATTGCTCTTTAAAATACACACTTGTAATTCAACATCATAAAAATAAACATAAAGGTGTCTGGCTATTTAACAAATACATATATATGATTGTTGTTCCCCGATTGTTTAAAGTAGTAGTCTGGCATTTTTGTATATAATCTTATTTTCTGTCATGTTTAGAGTTCGATGAGAAGAGCAGTGACTAGCAGCGGCCATTTAGCTGCTGGGTACACTGCTAAACAGCTAGCCTAGCTCTGACAAAAGTTTTAAACAATGCCAGCAATTCTAGAAGTTTCAACACTTTATAATTTGTCCAGAGTCAGGCTACCTGTGCCCCGCGCTAACATAAGCTAATTCTCTGGTAGCTCTAGCTTCATATACTGACAAACATACACATACAAAGCAAGTAAATATGTTCTGCCATGAAATTGTCCAGCACATAATGTCTTTAAACTACACCCTTTTTCTTAAACAGAACAGATATATAATGCTAATTATTGAACTTTAGAGGTGCTGGTTGTCAAACTGAGTTACCATTAGACAGAGTCGGACTATAGCTGTTTCCCTGTTTCTACTATCTGTGCCAAGCTAAGGCAAACTGCTCCTTCAAGGAAGAATCATTTTTGGTTTTAACTGTTGGTAAATTATTGTAAAATTACCTTTTTATTTATGACTGCAATACAGCCTAAAACAGCAATAAGATAACTGCATCTGCTTGCACGTATACACTCAGATTTTGCCTTAAGTATTCAATGTTTAGACACATAGCTCAGACTCCAAGCTACTTTAGATTCCAGACAGATTTACGCTTCACGCAGTTCACCTCCTCCTTCCCTGAGACGCCAGATCCTCCAGTTTGAGCAGGCTATCCCATGATTCTCCCTGACAGCTGAGGCGTCAACCCCTTGACACTGACAGGAATTTATGGTTCTGTTCAGGATGCACGGTAGCCCTGCAGAGAGAATACACGATCAGGGCACAGCAGGGACGCGACTGCACTCATCTCAAAACGTATATATTTTATTGCAGCTTAGTGAACAAGGCCTGCTACGACCTGAAGTCTGGCTGATTTTTAATATATATTCTATTTATAAGCTGTTTAGAGCAATAGTTGATCTAATATATTTATCTTTTTTTTTATTTAGCATAATTTGTCAGTTTTACTTTGCACTGTGACTCTTTGTTCACCAAATGACAATGAGAAAGTGGCACTGACAGGGAATGCAGCATTACATTTTTTATGGTAAATGTGGGATGCAAAATCTATCTTAACTGACAAACAGACTTGGGAAGCAATCACCTCCCACCGGAGAACTTAATACAGCACATTTATAGGCACACACACACACACACACTCTCTCCTCTATATTGTACATATGTTTTTGCTGCATCACAAGCTCACAAACAGCAAATCAATATTAAAGCAATATTGTTTCACATGCGTGACTGCCCCCAAGAATTCCTTGCTTCTGAATAATGTAGCTGACATAGATTTTTATTTTTATGCTACATTAAAAAGGGTATCTGGTGCAACTGCAGTATGCAATCTTATGAAAATGTACATCACTAGTGGTGGTTTTGTGCCCATTTCTTCACTGGAAACTTGTTGAGTTCAGTTTGCAGATACAAGCAATAGGTTGAGAGGAATGGTTTCTCCCACTTGGCAGTTCTGAATAACACTCTGCACAATATGATGTGAATGCAGTATAACTGACACATTGTAGCTGAGTCTGTGTACATGTGATCACTTTCTGTGTTGGATAGTAGTATTTTGGTCACCCTGAAAAGTGATGAAAGACATTCTCAAACTTCCACAGTGTAATAGTAGCCAAGCATGGAGGAAGAAGGAAGTAACACCCCACCAAAGCTGGTGGTGCCACAACATGCTGTAGTACTCTGTGGGTGTCTCTCCACCTCAAGGTCCCTCTGAAGTAGCTCAATTTAAAAGCCGCTCTTCATATTTCCATCATTAAATGACTGATGGTTATACTGTATGTGAATAGTTATTATCTGAAGGCGTGCATGCCTAAAACAGATGTTTGACCAGCCCATTATGTTTCTCTTCATAACACAAGGTCATACAGTCATACAATAATAGGAATCCTTCACATTCCTGCCTGTGAAGTTTCCAACTGTAGACCTCTCAGGCTGTCTGTCACCTCCTCACAGGCTTTTACTGTGTTGATGAATTTGAACTAGATGATCCAAGTTTCTATTTATACCTTCCCATGCATGTGTTTGTCAGAGCTGTTTTGACTCTGCACATTCCAGTCTATTTATGTTGCGATTTTGTACAAGTTACAATTGGCCATGCCGTGCCCACCAGTCAAACAGACGCAACACAACTGAGCTGTGTACAGGATTACATGGCTTTTGTCTATGAATGATATATTCTCCCTGAGCGTGGCTGCACAACACGTATAGGCCTATCTTACTGATGTACAACCAGATAGTGGATGGCAATACTGTACAACACAGTGTCTTCACAGGATTTTAGTGTTAAGTATGTTTTTCTTTCTTTTCTTTGGTTAAAGGAGCGTTATTGTATGTGGTTTGGAACAATGATTTTTTTCCCTCATGCAGTTTAAATGTCAACTGCTGAGTGTCCATCAAGGCAGAAGTCATGTTTTTACTGGTAAAAAAGTTACAAATGGATCTTGATGAAGTCTTTTGGGGAGGTAGGATATGGCCTACAGAACAATCCACCAGATTTTGGTGTTGATCTGGATCATCGGGAATTTTTCTTTTTTTACAAGATTCTCCACCATTGTTAGACCATTGTTAGATAGGGCCTGTTTTGATGTTGTATATATTTTTTGCCCCATACATACAATAATACCTACCATAGCATCCACATAGGATCGACTACACACCAAAGTCTGACCTGGATCCAAGCAACATTCCCGATCTGCAGATCCAAGCCTGAAACTAAGATCAAATTCTAGTTGAAAATCTGCTGACTCAGAAGGGTGTCAGTAGATCCGATGTATCTTCAAAAGCTACTGACCTAGATCCTGAAGATAACCACCATTAGAGAAATATTAATTTCTTGAATAACTTTCAAACTAATAATGACATCTTTCCTTTCATGGTCAATGAATCATATCAGGAGAGTGAAACTACACGAGAACATTGCTTTTAGGTGGAATGGGATTATGGGGAGCTGCCTTGGTGGAGATTCACACTCCTGAGTGCTGTGTAGTTTATTAGTGTGTTATGTAATCCCATGGCATACAATTTAAATAGTATACCACACAAAAAAAGTTAATTCTTTCATTTAAATGTGGGTTGTGGGATCACACAAAACGATCTTGCCCAACCTGGAAACCCAAAGATGCATTCAAATGAGTTACCTCATTAATATTAAAAAGCTGAAATGAATGATTAATTTGCCATTTATATATCCATTAGAAAGTAGCAACAGTAACTGTAATCTGTATTCATTCACATTCAGTTTTGCCCTGTTCACTGTTACTGAGCAGTACTGTGACTTTCATTTTCTCCTAACAAACACCAGTGTGCAGCCATTTTGTCAGGTTGCACATACTGTATTTAAAGCACATATTGTGCAACTTGAGGTGACATTTCCATAGCTTTTGTAGACATAAATGTACATGTATTTCTTACACAAAGTCAGTTGGTTGCAAACCCATTGAAAGAAACATGCTTGATGCAGTGTGACAGCCAAAGTGTTGGATAGAGTTTCACATTCTATATATAAGCCTTGTGACTTGTGTTCCTGCTGTTCTATTTAAACGCCAGAGTCGCACTGTCAAAACAGAGAGAGGGGCGCAAAAAATATGATGGACCTTTTTGAGACCAACACTTATCTTTTTAGTGATTTGCATTATTTAGAGGAAGAAGATCATGGACCACTACAGCACTTGGACATGGCGGGGGTGTCTCCTCTGTACAATGGCAATGACAGCCCGCTGTCCCCGGGCCAAGATAATATTCCATGCGAGACCTGGGGGGAGAGTAGCGGAGAGGAGCACGTCCTTGCACCTGTGGGTCTCCGGGCGCACTGCGAGGGCCAGTGTCTAATGTGGGCCTGTAAGATCTGCAAGAGAAAATCAGCGCCGACGGACAGACGCAAGGCCGCCACTCTGAGGGAGAGGAGGAGGCTCAAGAAGATCAATGAGGCCTTCGATGCGCTGAAGAGGAAGACCGTGGCCAACCCCAACCAGAGGCTACCCAAGGTGGAGATTTTACGCAGCGCAATCAGCTACATTGAGAGATTACAGGACCTGCTGCAAACGCTGGACGAACAGGAGAAAACCCAAACTGGATCATCTCATTCTCATGATGTCAAAGAACACAGTGTAAGCTAACAGTAGATACAGCCTCTCAGATTACAATAAAATCCTCACAGTAATCCCATAATCTTACACTGTACTTGTGATATTTGGATGACTGTATGATACATTTGTGTTCCTTGCTATGTATCTGTGTATCTGTGGTGACTATAATGACATTACGGCATGTTTATTGTGTCTTTATCTGTCTATGTCACTATGATATTTTTCTTACAGTTGGGAGAAACAGTGAGATATTTAGTAATTATGTCAATAATATCACAGACACATCTTGTTATATTAATAGTTAGCATCATTTTCATACTTGTTGTTCATCTTATGTCTCTTTTAGGATGATCTTAGAGGTGTTTTCTATGACAATCCTCCATTTAAACTGATTTATACTTATGAACCATACGTTTATGTTAACATGTTTTATGTGATTTCTGCAGGTGGCCAGTCATGAGTACCACTGGAAAAAGCCCTCTGAGACCTGGCCGACCTCTGCTGACCATTCCACTGCAGCAATGATAAACCAGAGAGAAGGTAAAATTCAAGAGTGCTGAACCAAAAAGAAACAACAACAAAAACAAAAAGTCGAGCGGTATCAAAGATCAATTTCTTTTGTTTTCAGAAACCAGTGAGTCCTCTGCATCCTCCAGCCTCTTGCGTCTGTCCTCCATTGTGGACAGCATCACCACCGATGAGAAAATCAACTTTCCCAAGGACATCTCTGAAAACTGAAACAGCAGCAAAGACACTGACTGGGCAACAATTTTAAAATTTCAAATTTCCATTGTTTATCTCTAAATTATCTCTGCTATATTCAGCTATTCAAGCTTTTGTTTGTCATGTAGTTTTCATTTGTACTGCAGGAGCAACAAATATGTACATATTTTATAATAATGTGATGTTTAGATTTATTTATTTTATATTTAAAAGCATACAAACTCCTTAAACCTGATTGTATTTTAACATGTTTGTACTTAACCGACCAAGAAAATAAACAGCTCCTTTTGCAATACAGGAAACTACTCAGTTCCTCATTATTACAAGGTCATATTCATCCACTTTTGAGGTTCTACTGTATTTGACAAGCAGAGGCAATGCAAACACTAGACCACATCCTCCGCTCTCTGACTTCCACTCTTTTCCCATTTAAATATACAAAACCTACAAACAATGTCGATGTATTGTCCAAATTTATATTATATAAATTTACCCCCAGGCTGAAATGTGGGGGAGCATCTTAGAGTATTTAGGTCACGTTACTCCTCACTGCACCTCCATGTTTTACCAGTGGTGGTAGATGTACTCAGATTCTTTAACTAAGTAAAAGTAGTAATATCACAGTGTAGAAATGGTAAATGGTAAATGGACTATATTTATATAGCGCATTTTTCACAGTGTGTTGCACTGGCCAAAGCGCTTTACAGGAGATCATACACCTTTCACCCATTCACACACACATTCACACACCGATGACGACAAGTAAATGTCCTGCATTCACAGTGTTGCTTAAGCAAAAGTACAAAAGTCATCAAAACATATGTGAAGTAGCAAAAACAAAACTATCCAGAACTACATGTTTCACATTAATGTGTATCATATTATTGATGTATCACTGTGTTCATCACTTTAACGTTGCAGCTGGTAAAGGTGGAGCTAATGTTAACTACTTTATATACTTATAATCTGAAGTAATTTACATCCCACCAGGAATCAATAAAGTGTGTTGGTTATGCTGCATAAATGTGCCCCCCACCACTGGTTTTGCCAGTGGGTTACAGTACATTAACAGAAAACCCTACCAGTCCCTCCTGCATTCACGGCTACTCCAAGTCCATAAAGTCTGTCTGAACTGCTCGGTTTGCCGCTCTGCTTTGTTCCAGCTGATCCCACAGCAGTAACTCGAGTCCCCTGTAGACACAGTGTGTGTCTGCTCTCCACTCCTGTCATATGACGGGGACATGGAAACTTGGGCAGCAGGCTGGAGTGCAAAGCCCTGTGGGGCAATGAAGTTATCTGAGCCATTAGGTCTTAATTCATCATGGCTTGGTTCATCATCACATGGCAAAGTGTTTACATGGGAGCTATTAAAATGTGTGACATGATTCTAACGGCATGGAAATCCACTGAGTCTTGTTTGTTGTACATTAATATTAGAAGGGCCGATTTGTTGATAAACTCAGATCTACAGTGTGCGGATGACACGGAGCTCCGCCATCTCACAGGCCTGCTGACACACGTGCCCATGCGCAGTGTCACACATGGTGACCAGAAGCTAAAGACCTCAGTGCAACATCAAGCAAAGAGAAAACTAAAATAGTTCAACATGGATTCATTTAGCTTTAGCTATAGTAGAAAGCAAAGTATATTTCCTCGAGTACTGCACTTAGGAACAGATCCAAGGCGCTACTTAGTGGATGTAGATATTACTTCAAAGTACTTCTGTTTGTGGTTCAGTGCACAACTTACAATAACCTTAGATTTTTCAAATGACCGTTTATATTAAATTAGTTTTTAACTTAGTGGCAATGTCCTGATACAGTGTTGTCTCTTTGTCACTGTGCAACCAAACTAGTTTCTCTGTCAAGGGTTAATAAAGTGATCTGATCTAATCTTTGCTATACCTCTACCCTGTTAGATTTAAGATGGAAACACTCCAAATATCCACTCCACCATCTATTTTACACTTTCACTACAAGTTACTTTTAAGTGTCCACTAAAACATATAACTAAAGTGCCCTAATATTATAGTAGTAAAAAACAGCTCCCCTATGACAGTTTATAACAATGATATCCTGCTTAACAATTAAAGCAATTCTAATAATACTCCAAACATGTAGAGTATATAATGATATAACAATTGTACTTTTACTTTTTATATTTAAGTGCATCCATCCATCCATCAATTTTCCTCCGCTTATCTGGGACCGGGTCGCAGGGGCAGCAGTCTAAGCAAAGATGCCCAGACTTCCCTCTCTCCAGACACTTCCTCCAGCTCCTCCGGGGGAATGCAGAGGTGTTCCCGGCCCAGCCGAGAGACATAGTCCCTCCAGCGTGTCCTGGGTCTTCCCTGGGGCCTCCTCCC